TGTAATTTTTTTTTAATATGGGTTAGAAAAACAACATATGAAAAGTAGTATCTTTATTTTGTAAATTTGTTATATTTTAATTAATAATAAAAGTTTGAAAAATAAAACAAAAATACATAATAAGTAAAAAGACAAAGTACATCTTGACATTTACATTGAATCAGAAACAAAAAACACTAAGTACTCAATATGTTAATCTACATCAGAAGATTCGTTGTGTTTTTAGCTGCCACCTGATTTATTTGTGCCTCTATCAATTCTTTGGGATTTAACTCGCAGTGATATGGGGCAGCCACTACACAACTTTATTGGTTTCTTTAGCCTTTACATCGACAACATTCAAATTATGTGCATCTTTATGTTGCCAAATTAGGTGTAAAAGTTGATATCACTTCATATTTAAATAAATTTAATATTTTTAGTTTTGTAACCATTCCTGTCAGATTTTCTTGTTGACAAAGGAATTTTTTCAACTTTTCGACTATGATATGATACATTTTCCATGACAATCATAGCATAATTAGAAAACTTTGTAAAAAATGTAGAAAACCAATTCTAAAATACTTCGGATTTCGTCTCGTCAAGGTAAATGCATTTTCTACCAAACCTTCAGAATTAGCACGTATATTAAGGCACCTGCTTTTGGCTTTTCAGGCCTGTTGATAAACCTTATTATGATCTTCATCAAAGTAGAAGCTTGGTCTGTTTTATTTTCTATATTGTTTGATGGATTTTAAATCTACGTATATAGTGTTCTATCAATACACTTTGACAATTTCTTTTCAAATATCTAAAAAAAAATATACATAATAAATAAACAGTACATTTGACTGGTCAAAGATACAAACTTACTTAGTTATTATATCTCAAGAAAGTATATAAAGATGAATAATATATTTGTGGCAAATCTAAATATTTCAATTCTTGCAAAATTTTATTCAATCTAGATAACTCATTTTTGAAAAAGAAATCGTGTACTAATCTTCGAATAGCATTTATCATCATCATAATCAAATGTTTTTAGAACTCCTCGTCTTCCATAAATACTTTTTAGACTAGATATTGTTCCATTATTGCGGTATTATTTCAATAATCGGTAAGTAGTTGACTTTGACCTGTAAGAAAAATATTGAGTATTTAATATTATTTTTAATTTGAAAGTAATGAGTAAAACTTACTGGTAGCTTGAGAAATTTTGGATATAACATCAACAATTTTGGTTTTCGTATTATTATTCAATACCTATTTGTACATATTTATTATTTACTGCTTTTCTGAGAGACGAATAGCCTAAACTCATTCGTTTTCGTTGTTTTGATGGACTCCGCGAGGAACTGTTATAATAGTATTCGATGTAGAAGGATCCATAATCGTAAAAATTCAATACAATTGCTTACTAAAGTTTTGAAAAGAACTGTTATTAAAAAAATAAAATAAAAACTAAGTAATAATGATGAGATATCAAAGCAATAACAAAACTTAAATTATAAAAATGTCAGAATCGAAAATAGAAATGTCAACCCCTGTCAACAGTAGCTAAAAAGTGATGTGTGAAACTGACTTCAATCTGACCAATTAGAAGTCTACAGAATTGCCAACTTAAATTCAAATCGCTCCTCTTAGTTTAAAAACAGAGTATAGGAGTAGCGGAATTTCGCTACGCGTCGTCAGACTTTTAGCCCTTGAAGAAGTAGAAAGACCTTTTTTAAGTAGCAAAATTTGTGTCTAGCAATATACTTTATATTTATTTAAGGATTTTTTATAAAACCAATTTATTACATTGATTTTTTTTTTTAATTACTGTTCATTTATCAATTTTGTTTTAAAATCAGTTCATCATTTGGAAACACTGTCGTTCATGTTCACTGTTTATATTTTAATTTGTATCAATTATAATTCGAATTTTTTCATACATGTAAGCTTTAAATTTGTTTATTTCTTATAGCTTGTGATAGTGTTTATATTAAAAATGAAATTTACGAAAAAGCTCCCAGCAAATTGCAATCCATATGGTGTTAATGTTAAAATCAAAACTTAAGTGTTCATTATTTTCCAAGCGTAAGTCGTATAATTTTGTTTCTTTCGATAAATTAATATCTAGAAATTCGCATTATTGAGATTTTCCAAATTTTGTCTAGAATCAAACTGCAATCTGCAAGATAGTTTTATTACCGTTTACATGTATACAAAGTACTACACCATTCACTTCATAATATAAGAATAAGGATAGTAAGATTTTTAATTAAGTTTATTAATAATAAACGTAAGGTACCTGGAATGTCCTTTAAACGACATAATAAAACATGTCCTGCCTTTAGTAAATACATATTTCTAGATGTTTGTGTAGCAACCAGATAGGTGAAGATTTTCATCAAATTAGTCATAATACATGATAAATATTATATTTATGACGAAAGCACGGAAACTAAACTTAAATTAACACTAAATGAAACTCAAAAACACTATTATAATGACAATAGTATTTTAAATCAGTTTAAAAATCACAAATACAAATAATAGGCGCGCGAAAATTAATTTTAATCGCGAGTAATACTAATTGAAGGTCTGTTCCAACAACGATCAGAGACCAGTCACGGACACCATGATTCTGCGCAGTACGTTATTGGAGCCGCCAAATTATCGTAAACGAATCACACTATCAAAATAAATTATGAAAGATGAAATGGGCAGCAAATTAAGACTATTGTTATTGCTGTGGTTTTTAATTGCTTAAGTAATAATTATTCTTTACAAAAAACTTTTAAATAGTGATGTGGGCATATTTTTAAGATATAGGTAATAAATATAATCAAAACTCCAATTAACTTACTTAGCTAAATTATTTAGATTCAAGACACATTTCCAGCCCAACGTTTTAATCCTAGTAATGATAAAGGCCAACATTATGGGAAAAACTGTGATTGTAATAGCCGTGTAAGACATTTCTATTATACTCCGACAAGATATTGGAGAAGGTGAGTCATCTGCATGATCAACACTGTTGTCTATGAATGAAAATTCCGACAGAGTCAGGCATAGGCGGCGTATCAAATACTAAATAATTATTTATTATTTATTATTTATTAGATATTTGTTAAAAGGCTCCTTAGAAGCCCCTAAAACGTATACCCGTGCTCGAAAATTGTTGAAATTATACGATAACCAAAAACAAATCATTCGAAGAACTGTACATTCTTGTTTTTTTCGAAAACAAAGCCCCCAACACTTAAAGTTGTTCTTACGAAATTAGGAGAAAACGAAGAAATTCCATTAATGAGCCGTGAAACTGTACGAAAAATTTTATGGGGCCTCAAATTTCGTTTTGTCAAACGGTGTAGGAAATCAATTTTAATTGAGAGGTCGGCGTTATTTACGAAATATTAAAGAGTTTAGAGCCGCTAAAAAAAAGATATACTATCTCGATGAAACGTGGGTATCTAAGATATTGCAAGATACTTCTGTAACTAGTCATCGCCAAGCTTTTATAGAGGGATTATCTATAGGTTTGAAAGCACCATCAGGTAAAAGACAGTGCCTAATTGTTACCCATATCGGAAGTGACAGTGGATTTTTGGAAAATAGCGCTCTTGTGTTTATATCGAAAAAACAGGAGACTACCACGAGGACATGAATGCAGAATGCTCTGAAAAATGGTTTACTGAAGTATTACAGCGTGTAGAACGAAATTCACTTATTGTACTAGATAACGCTTCTTATCACAGTCGACGAGTTGAACGCATTCCGATAATGTCCAGTAGGAAAGCGGATATGCAAACCTGGCTGCGGGATAAAGCAATAACATTTACTGAGGAGATGCTTAAAGTGGAATTAATGGACCTAATAAAGGAACACCGTTCTAAATATATTCAATATGTTGTCGACACAATGGCTCGTGATCGTGGTATTACGGTACTAAGACTTCCCCCTTATCACTGCGAATTCAATCCTATTGAACTAATTTGGGAGCAAGTGAAAGGTTTGTAGCTCGAGAAAATAAAACTTTTAAAATAGCCAACGTTCAAAGATTATTAAAAACCGGTATAGAACGTATAAAACCTGAAGCTTGGCAGAATGCTATTTCCCATGTAATTAAGGAAGAAAATAATATGTGGCGCTTGGACGGTATGATCGAAACGGTAGTTGAACCTTTAGTCATAACTTTAAGTTCCGACGATGAAGACGATTCCAGTGATAGTTCTGCAGAATCAATGGATTACGAAACTTCATAGATTTAGAATTTAAGTAAGTGATACCAAGCTTAATTTACATATTTTTATAATAAACAAAATACAATTATAAACATAGATGAATTATTATAACAAAAATAGATAACCAACCGACTTTCATCTAGTAATATTCACAAATACCCAATTAATTTGCCAATATAGTATTTCTGCGACACTGGAAGACTGCATTTTTATATGATAACGATACCTTTTGCAGTTTTAAGGCGCACCTTCTTCAATATTTTGTTCTAGTATAATACCCCATTTAATTTTCCAATAGTGTTTCTACGCCACTGGCATATTTACATATTTTAACAATAAACAAAACAAAATTATAAACATAAATGATTATTACTACAGAAATAGATAACCAACCTACTTTCATATAATATTATTTACTATTACCACATTTAATTTGCCAATAGTTTTTATACGCCATTGGCGTAATTCATTTCGGCAATAAACATGCATTTATGACTAGTTGGCACGTGATACCGATAAGTTCTGCAGTTTTAGGCGCGTGATTCCATTCATTATGCTCTGGTATAGTATTATGGTTGTACGTGATCAGGGAGGAATCGCCTTCTTCAATATTTTGCCCGAGTTTAGGTTTTTATTTTCAGTAAATTAAAGTAAACCTGAACGATTGCACTTCTGACAAGTCAATTTTATCCATTTTATTTTTTTGAGATTGGAAACAGCTAAGATAAACCATGTTTGAAATTAATTTTATTTTTGATCTGCAATTTTCGGTTTAAAACGAGAAAAACTTACCTGACAATGTCGTGAATTCTGGTATGCGGACATTCTTTGGGAGTGTTTTGAAGCACTGTTGCTAAAAGTTGCATTAAAGCTGTACATAGAGGTTCCGCGGGTAGATCGTCTTCACTGTCGTCTAGATCCTATAACAAAATTTATATTTATCAATAAAAACTAACGAAAATTAATTTCACGCGAATTCTAATATATATAATTACAGATTACCTAGATGCGAAACTAGGCAAAAGATCAAAGAATTTGAAATGAGATGTGTCTATATTAAAATTTTAAATGGGTATGGCAAAGATGTTGGCAATTTAAATTATTTTAAATCACTTTTACCATTACTTTCGTCTAAACATGCGTTTTGAATGCCAGGGTTGGTTTAAGTAATTAATGATGGTTTATTGTAAAGTAGTAACACTAAATTTGGTTAACAAAAATAGATATAGAAGATGGGTTTCAAAAGAAATGACATACGACTTGTATCAATATTTTCAAAATTGTATTACAGTTATAACACGTTATAATATAAGTTCCACAAATTGTTAGTGGGTAGATACATAACATGCTCTCAAAGCGAGCAGTAAACATAAGTGTAGATTAGTGTAGAAGATGTTAATATAAGAGGCTTGGTTGCGAGGGGATGCCCACAGGGAGGGATGCTATCACCTCTACTGTGGAATATGGTCCTCGACACCCTCATCAGCCGCCTCAATAATGACAGTCACTACACAATCGCATATGCAGATGACCTGGTCATTCTGCAAACAGGGAATTTTGAGAACATACTCTGCGAAAGAATGCAAGTAGCTCTAAAAATTATAGAACAGTGGTGCAAGGACCATTCACTGCCTATCAATCCTAAGAAGACAGAAATGGTCCTTTTCACAAGGAAAAGGATGAACATGGAATTAAAACCTCCAGAACTCCTAAACACAAAACTAAACTTTGCAACAGAGGTGAAGTACTTAGGTCTCACCTTTGACAGCAAGTTAACATGGAACTCGCATTTAGAAAACAGAGTTAAAAGAGCATACATTGCTTATGAACAATGCCGCCGTACTGTGGGACGCACCTGGGGTTTCTCTCCCAGAGTCGTCGCATTGACTTACACGGCTATCATAAGACCTATGTTAACATACGGTGCAGTTGTTTGGGTACCGAAAACCCAAAAATTAACAGCTATCCGTAAACTAGAACAAATTCAAAAAACAGCATGTCTCAACATAACAGGAGCCATAAAAACAACATCGACTAGAGCGATGGAAGTCATTCTTAGTCTCACTCCCCCTTGATATTTAACTCAAGGAGGTTGCTCTGACGACAATGACACGCCTCCGCACGGTTGGAATAGAACCTGATGTAGGATCTGGTGAGGCGAGACGTCGCTTTTGGCAGGAGGCACTCGATACGCTCCCACTGCTTCAAGCGAACATGGACTCCATCTGACCGAGATATAAGCCATATAAAGTTATAATAGAACAAATAACCAAGGCTCAGGATGCGGAATATATTCCAGATTCTTAAACCTAAACATAAAATGGGCTGTGAGCAATAGTGCCAGTGTAGTTCAAACAGAGCTAACGGGGATTCTCATAGCAGGAAAAGAAATAACCAGAAATAATCTCACTGGAAGGAACATGCTCATCTATACAGATAGCAGACAAGCACTACTCACCCTGAACAGACCACGAATTTATTCAGGGTTAGTACTTGAATGTCATGAAGCTTTGGCCGAAGTATCCATCAACAATGTGGTCACCTTAAGATGGATCAAAGGTCACGCCACATCGAAAGGTAACCGTCTTGCCGATTCACTGGCCAAGAAAGCAGCCAACCAAATACTCTTTGGACCTGGCTCTTCTATTGGCCTGACAAAATCGGTAGTGACAGACCTAATTAAAGAGCATTCCCTTGTGAAATTCAAGGAAAGATGGGATGAAACAAGAAACTGCAGAGTTGCCAGAGAGCTCTTAAGTTATCCTGACAACACTGCAGCAAACAAATACTTGACTATGACTAGACAGAATCTGCGTCTGGTCACAGGCATTCTGACTGGTCATTGCCAAATACGGAAGCATCTCCATATCATGGGGCTGTCAGAATCCGCACTCTGCAGGGGGTGCGAACAAGAATATGAGACCATCGAGCATATCCTTTACGATTGCCCGACGCTCTCATTTATTAGAAGATTTGTGTTCGGCGAGTATCGGCTAACACCGGCCGATATAAGAGAAGCATCTTTTGGCGATGTTGTCAACTACATTAAATCTGTAGGCTAGCTGACGAGCTAGGAGGTGCCTATCATCTTAGGAGGATGCACAATGGGCCTAATGAGGCCTAAGTGCCGTGGGGGTAACCCACCCTCCACACGTTACAGATACAGATAGGATAAAATTTTGACGATCTGAACATGTGGGTCAGCGGCGTAACACAGGTATACTACATAGTTATCTTTATTTCCACAAACAAGAATGCTCGCACAATTAGGATCGAACTTTCCTCAGTTAAGTCGTTTGATCCATTAATTATCACGAACAGTCACTGTTTGAATTCCTAATAGTTTTGTTTTAATAACTAATGAAATATAAAACCATGACGATAAAGTTACAAATTTTTAGGCACAATTTGTAGAATAGAATGATCCAAATGGAACAACGGGGTATTAAACCGGATTCATTCGCAAATGAAATACATTCTTCCAAATTTACGTAAAAAGGGGGAAATCCCAATTCACCCTTATTTGTACGAATTCAAATCAATCTGAAAATCGGTAAATGGTCTACTGGACATTAAATTTTATGTATTTGCGAGTTCAATTTTGTATGCGTAATAAAGTAATAAAACTGAAAAAGTACGCCAGTGAGTAATCATAAAAAAGTTCTGCATACTTCGGATCCAGACCGTGGCGTGGGTTCAACAGAGTTTACGATCTTTTAGTAATTCAATGTAAACGAAAGTATATGCAAACGTCAAAATTAATTATTCTTGTACGCCGTGAAAAATTAGTCTGAGGAAAAGGATAATAAAGTTTATTTCATCAAATATTATTCTTACTTTTTACAAGGATGATTTTTTATGGATTCAGACGTCCACTAAGGAAAAACCTAAAAAATTAAAACTCCATCTCAATGCAATTGGTCCACTTGTATTAATTTAAAACTACATAAATCTATAAGTATAATGCGCCTTGAAAAGACACAAAAGGTAAAAGAATCGCAGTAACAAAAACTGACGACGTTTAAACTCAGCCGCCTATTACGGTCTCGGGAAAAATTAAACGATTGTCGTCATAAATATTTTGAAATATTTTTTGTATATTTATTCGTCACTCATTGTAGAAAAGAGAATTAATTCCTTAGTTTATATTCAAATCAGTGTTTGTTACCAAACTAGCATGTTAATTCTCTTGAATTGAGGGAACTTTGTATATTTCAACTTCAATATTTTAGAAAGCTAGAAAATGTTAATTTTATGATTATTATCTGATTACAAGTGATACGATTAAACAAAACATTGATATGTACATTGTGTGATAGTTACGGGCAAACTGCTGATGTACTATGGTTGTATAGAATTTCTAATAGATATTTGGCAAATAAAAAGTTGTATAGAAAGATGGCTAATGCTCATAATTGCACTTATCTAGCTCAGGCAGTTCCGGATTCAAACATTTTTAATTAAATGATTTTTGTATTCATCGATATTTTTTCAATATTATATTTCGTATACTCGTCCAAATAGATGTTACAGAATAGTAGCACTATTATCACTTTATCGAGCACAATTTTCAAGAGTGAATCACAAAAAATAGACAAAAACACTCCCTTATCAGCCGCTACGTTACCTGCCTCGACCCTACGCGTATTCATCTCATTACATTATTGTGCTTTCTCGAGTAAACTTAAAGGCCGGTTAGTGATATAAGTGATAAGACAATTGGAATGCATAAACCAAAGTGTTCCACAAAAACATCGAAAACATTCAAGTTTGTTAAGTGATACTGCTGATACCGACAGTGTGTACAGCCATAGCTAAAACTGAAATTAAACTATTACCCAATAGTTTAAAGAGACAAAACTGTCTCTTAAAATAAATTTGTTAAAACTAATTTATATTTAATATTATAAAATGGTAAGTAATATTTCCCTTTCTACTGAGTAAAGTTAAATGTAGGTTTAATTGATAGATTAACAAACAATAGCCCTGTAGTTTCATCAGCAAGTAGTTTCTTTCAACTTTACTAAGAGGTGAAAAGACTGACCCTTAAAGTAATTGACCTCAAGTAGTGTATTGTGCATGATTCACTAAGTTGAAGTTCATAATAAAATGCGAAAAATGATGCGAACTAAACAAGGGATTGCTTAGTTTAAAGTTGAATAATATAAGAAAGTTTTTCCTATCTATTACCTAATAATTTTAATAATATTACCTAATAATCTTAATGTGTAGTTTTAGGTTTGAGATTTATAGTTTTAACAATAAAAGTAATTAACATTGAAAAGTCGTATTTTTTGCAAGCTCTAAATATTGTTCAATCTTCTTGAAATTTTGCATACATATCTTTTACATCAATTACACTCGGGGCGTAAGCAAAGTCTGCAAAAATCTTATATTTAATTTTTTTACTTACAAAATGAAACACCCTAGAGTATACTCATATAATTTAGAACGAAATTCCTTACATGTAAGTCGATTGTTTTTTTAATTATTTAACTTAATTAAAAAAACTTTAAAAATGGATTATATCGTAATAATATAGGAAATGTACATGAGTAGTTGTTCTTGTGTATAATTCTCTTGAAAATACAGGTCACAAGCAATTAAAAAGTCTTTAATTGGCTCTTTATTCCAAGACTTTGTTGAAATTTTTTCTATCAACCTCGAATGGTACAATGCATTGTCCATTACTGTAACGTACATTTTTAGCTGCACGAATTACTAGAGAAAAATTCGACTCATCTTATTTAAATATACTAAAAAAAATAAACGTTATTTATTGTTGATAGGCTTTAAAACAATTATTTTTGTCGTAAACTGGCTGTGTGCATTATTAGCCTTCAGATATCATTATTAGAATTTAATTCATCTCATCAATAGATAAGAGGATGGCATTTTATCCATAGTGCAATACATTGTA